AAAGAGTTGGCCCATCAAGCCAAAGGCTGAGACCCCCACAGGGCCGGCCTGGAGGACTGTGGGAGTTTTATACAGTCTATGAAACACTGTTGCAAAACCAGAACTTTTTTTCCTTAAAGCCCATTCAATGAACAAGTTGGGTGAACGTGCTCATCCAGCATCCTAATTTTGGGACAGAGCCACAGAAGCCAGTGACTGGAAGACTTAATAGGGCGCTGCTCATCTCCTTCATGCTAAGCCCCATAGGACACTCAGTATTGCTTCGCCCAGCCTGACAGTGTCAGCCCGTCATCTGTCTCCTGGAGAAAAACCCATGAAAACCAGGATGTCCATTCGGTTTGTCCCAGAGAAAAGTCACTGTCCTGCACTCGCAGTCTCATGGGTCCCCTGTTGCTGGGATCTTTTCTGTAAAAATATTTCCCTCAGTCACTGAGGAAGCACTGCAGCTCAACTCGCTCATGGCACCAGGGGCGAGAAAAGGCAACTCCAGATTTGCTTCCACTCAGCTGTCTTGTGAGGAACAAACGTGTCCCCTGGCCATCTCAAAGGACTTGGGGCATTCGGGATGAGGTTTTTGTCCTCTGTAAGGTTCTTACACCTGGGCGACCCTCTGAGGAGTGTGACCAAGCTCTGAGAGCATAAACAGGAGATTGCATTGTTGATCAGATTCATCCTTCATTTTCCTCTCAAATCTCCAAAAAAAGAGGATATGGTAGATATATTTTCCACAGTGAGGGGGCAGTGCATCATTAGCTTATCAAGACAAAGAATTCAACCTTGACTTATGCCTGTATATTCACACTATCTTGCTCCTCGCTGACTTTGCTGAGACAAAACATGAAATTAAAAAAGGAAGGACAACCATACTAAATCTGTAAGCAACCAGCCCCAGTGCTTGTTCTTCCCTCATAATGCTCTCTTAGTCATTTGGGCAATACAGGAAAAGGGTTTGAGGGCTTTATGTTATTACTTCACCTTGTAAGATCTTGGCAGTTCTGGTTTCTTGATTTTTAAATACAGGAGACCAGAAATAGTCATGCCATAGAAAAGCCATGCTATAAAACTGGAAGAAAAAGGAAAAAGAAAAGAAAAACAAAAAAGAAAAAAAAAGAGAGCATTACATTTGGGGTGAGATCATCCAGGAATGTCACGCCCACCTTGCAGATCCCAGATGTTCATATCTCCAATTAAAAAGAATAATGATATGAATTTAATAGTTCTTCCATTCATTTCCTTTCCAGCACAAACAATGAGAACTTTCGAATCATCTGAATATTATAGATTCATTTCAATATGAGGATGAATCACATCCAGTTAAGTATGTAGTGACAGGAGCATTCATGCATTGCAAAGATGCTGGTTCCTAAGCTCTTTCTTTTCTTTCTTCCCCCCTCCCTTCCCCAATATTGGTTAGAAAGCAATAGCCCAGGCTCAAAAAAATATTAAAAGAAAATACTTCCAAAACAATGTCAAAAAACAGGAGCACGGGGGATGCAAACAGAAACGCTACACATACATACCTGAAAAAGTTCACAATACTGGTGAAGCTTCCTGATATTATCATTATTAAAGACATGGCAGATGTAAACAGCAGAGCAGGGGAGGGCGTGAGGCATCGCACGTGAGCCATAGAGAGAATATCTGGCTGGAAACCAAAGCAAAACAATACACCATCACAGCACATACTCGGAGATCCTTACTCATCCCCCCGAGCTGCTGGTGGGAGCTCTGTCTGCAGCCAGGGCCACTCTTAATCATCAAATAAGCATCATAATATAAAAGCAGTTCAGCTCTGAGGAGCGTAAACATGGAAACGCCCCTCAAGGATATCGCATCTCACTGATTTCACATCATATGTGCTCAGTTTAGGCAGGCAAGATGAAGTTTTCAAACTACCGGAGTGACAGACTAAGGCTGAGTCAAATCAAAGCTTTCCTGATCATCATCAGGACCTTGTGCATGGTCCCACTCTTCTGCCCTCTGTCATGTCTCTCTGGGACTTGACTTCTCTTGGGCTGACTCGAAAATGAGACAAGGATTACTCCTGAAACATTTATGCAACCAACCACAAAGCAAAGCAGGACTTGTTCCAGAACACGGAGAGAATTGTTAGCCTCTTTATTGCTTGGTTCATTGGGAAAGTTTAATGACAAAGGCTCCTTTTTCTTCTTTCCAACCAAAATAGCATGCAAGCACTTCTGCTAAAGCTGAGTGTCTGCAAAACGGTGTAAGCATTCAGTTCTTAGTCTGGTACAGTCAAATTGAGACCATCTGGGAACTGCTCAGCACAGAGCTTGCCCCGATACAGCAGACACTGTCATCAGTAAGAGAAGCTGTGGAACCAGTAACCACCAAACCCCATAACCACCAATCCAGTCATCTCCACCAAACTGGTCATTCTTATACATAAAAGATTCCCTCCTATGTACAAGGAGTGGAGCTGGTGCGGCATGGTATCCTTCACACCCAAGAGCAGAAATGCCAGATGGTGTGGGGAGGAAGGATCAAAGAAGCACAAAGGTCCAGGAGGAACGCAACATGCCTGCTCAAAACAGACAAATGCAGCTCAGCCCGAGCACCGAGAGGGAGAAGAAGTGTGGGTAGGTGTGGGGAGGGTGCCTGCAAGTGAGGGGGTTCGTACCAGCAGCTGGAGTGGGGCAGCGGCCTCAGGTGCTTGCATGCCCCAGTACCGGCAACTGGGGAGTTGGGGATCCAGGGGCAGCTACTGGGCAGACTGAATGTCTGAGCCCAGCTGCTGGAGGGACCCACATTGTACACATGTTTACAAACATGTATTTCCCACTAACAGACCCTTGATCAGCCAGAGAGAGGAACAAGGTGAGGCCCTTGCTGCTGTTCGTGCTAGTGTTGGTGTGGGTGCCGAGTGCGTCTGTACGTGTAGTTCTGTGTGACCTGCTGTCTGTACATGTATATATACACATATATACATATGTATGTGTGTATATATATATGTTGTATACTTGTGTTTGTGTGTGTGTGCCTATTGGGAATACATGCTGAACTTACCGGTTGGACCAGGGAGCATGGAGCTGCAGCAGCCTGACCTCTGCTCTGGGCTACCAGATTTGGCCCCACCTAACAAAACCAATTAAAAACCCCAGCTAGGAGGGACGTAAGGCTTGGTGTCACCTTGTAATTGCTATGAAGCTTGAAAAGCAGAGACACCCTATGCTGTATCTGAACAGGACTACCCCAGGAACAACCCTGAGACCAGCTTGTGTAATCAGTATTACATGCAAAGGCAGCTTGCCTGTGCTGGGCTACCTTCCTGGCGCGAGCAAGGGTGCCTTACAACATGCAAGTATGGCCAGGTCTCCCGTACCTGGCAGGTATATAGGCTAGGTCACCCCAGAGCCTGTGCCCAGTGCTCCAATACAGCAGTATTTCAGTTGTTCATTTCATTTCTTAAAATTCAGACTAGATGCAATTATGTATCTTTCTGAAATTACACAGATGAAAAAGAAAGTCAGGAGACAACGTATACATTACATTTGAAAAAGATGGGGAAGAAAGTCTTTGATCAAGGAACAAACCACTGAAGAGCTATTACTCTCCCAGTTGAACATACATGGTGTTTTCCTCTCTGCTTTAGTGTCACAAAAAGGTAAAGTTCTCACAGCAAGCCAGACCCCCCTTTTTTTTTTGTCCTTACCATATGGCCTTCCCTTGCAGCAATGTAGCACACGCGACCTCCGCTAAAGAACGTGCCGTTCGATGAGCCAAACGTAGACAGTGCCACTGACAGAGAGATGAGCCATGCCCAACTGCCCAGGACTTTGT